GGAAATTTCCATGTACCTTAACATGTGTAGTGCAGGAAGGTACATGGAAATTTCCATGTACCTTAACATGTGTAGTACAGGAAGGTACATGGAAATTTCTATGTACCGTAGCATGTGTAGTGCAATTTTTCTTTTTACCTGCGTTTGAAAGAAATCATGCGCTTTGAGGCAAATTTTACCATAGGAAGTGACTTTGTTACAAAATTTAACTTCTTCTTTAGAAATCTTGCCAGCCTTACTTCGCTTTTGACCGCACCTGGTAAAAATTTCACTGAAGTGGCTGATTATTGCCAAAAATTCGGCGTTTTAGAATATCCCATTTAGTTGCTTTTAGAACGTGTTAATTCCAACGAAGCCACAAAAAGGGCTCTTTCCCGAGTGTTTTCTGTCGAGCTTTTAGTGCTGCCAGAAGTTGCTAAAGTGATCTTAACATTAATGCTGCAGGGCGCAGCACAAGTGAGAGCTTTGTCAATGATTATCAATAATTATCTGGGGCCCGTTTCTCGAAAGCCCCAGAAACCTTTCGGGCCCGTAAAGCGATGGCAAAATCTCGAACCTTACGATTACAGAGCTGTTTTATTCAGATATTCTTAATATGAAGAGAAGCTCCCTTCATACAAGAAGTTTCAGGCGTATACACTTCTCCATTTTAAGATACAGATGGACTACAAAATGGCTTTACGGGCCTGAAAAGTTTCCGGGGCTTTCGAGAAACGGGTCCCTGGGCCGGGTTGTTCGAAAGCCGGTTAACGCTAACCCAGGATTAAAAGTTAACCGAAGCATTAATTTTTCTTGCATAAAAATGTTTTTTACTGCTTACGTTTTGTGTAGTTTGAGCTTAGTCAAGCTCAAAACTGAAGGACAAACAGTATAAACTGAAAGCCTCACCGAAAAGTTACAAAACTCAAATCAAAATTCTCGCTAACCCTGGGTTAGCTTAATTGGGCTTTGAACAACCCGGCCCTGGTAAAAAGACTAACTTACCTTCATGGGAATCCCTCTACCATTGTTAATACGCTCCAATCTAGAAGGGAAACTCTCAATCAAAGACAGCAAGTCTTCCAGTGTTGTAGGAAGTTTGTCTGGCATGTCTGTGGCATAATATTGGATGGTAATATCTGACAAGTCATTACACTCTGAGGACAGTTTGTCTAATGAAGCTTTCAGTCCAGCATTGGCAATTAAGGGGTTCAGCTGTCCATCACAACCTCCATGGATATCTACTCTACAAAGGCATAAAAAACAATGTTGAAACTACTACATACTTATTAAATTAGTAGTAGTAGCAGTAGCGGTAGCGGTAGCGGTAGTGGTAGTGGCAGTGGCAGTGGCAGTGGCAGTGGCAGTGGCAGTGGTAGTAGAAGTAGAAGTGGTAGTGGTAGTGGTAGTGGTAGTGGTAGTAGTAGTAGTAGTGGTAAAAATGGCTTTATTTGCATGATAGTAAGATTTACGGTATTGTAAAAACATACATAATCTAATTAATAGCTAAACAAAGCTTAAATTTCTATAACATTAAAATCAATAATTCTAAGTTACATCATCTCCATTCGATAATAACCTATCACGTATAATCATGCATGAGGAAATATACTTCATTACAAGGTTGCATATATTATAGTCGTTAGAGTTCATGAGGAGTTTTACAGTGTCTGATGTTGATTCTAAGAATGTTTGCCTCTGTAAAGAGTAGGTACTACAGTGAAACAAGAGGCAGCAGCAATAGCAGTAACAGTAGCAGTAGCAGTAGAGTAGCAACAGCAGTGCAGTAGCAGTAGCAGCTGTAGAAGTAGTCGGGAGTTAAAATACTTCAGGTGTTTTTGTTGTTATTTTTACGAACCTTTTACGAGTTGACGAGGGCTTGAATTTCAGACTTGCGGCCATCTCAGCACCGTATATAATGCTCCTTACATACTGCTTACCGACTCCCTGGATACATTCTTCATCGTATTTTGGTTTCGGCTGTCCAACTATGGTCTCAATTACCTGATTGTAGTTTGGAATAACACGAAAAGGTAGGTGAACCTTGAGAATTTTAGGGGAATTACCTTAGTGAGATTTTTCTGATTCTGAGCTCAGTTAATATTTTGAACAGAAACTTAACCAGATGATTTGTCACTTGTGCTGGGTTTTTCTAGCCTATCAAAGTGACATTTTGTTGGCGTTGGATGGGAAACACGCATAAATCAAAATTTTGCTGGGTTGGCACGATAAGTTCTCAAAAGGAAGAAACGCCCGGTTATCCGGTGAGTAGGCTTCCAGTTTTAGTTTTTTTTAGTACTATCGTCCGTATCAGCGGAAATATCGATTGCCCAAAAAAGTGGATCTTATTAAATTTTACTTCATTTCCCATTAGCGTAGGAAATGTTGTGAACGCGAGCGCAATAAATACCCATAGCTTACTCCTTTATTAAAGTTGCTCTAGCTGTCATAAGATCACTCGCTATATTATATGACTGAAAAATTTTCCAACACGCGCTCGTTAATTTGTACTGCAGTGCAAATTTAACATTAAAAAAAATTTGGCTGTCAGCCAGTCACAATGAGGAATCTTTTCAGTCACATAATTATAACATCTTATACGCAGACAAATAAAAGTCGGACTGTCTATACATATGCTGTATTGCCCAGTAGCTCAGAGACTGGGGTAATTTAGTTGTAGTACATTACCGTGGTGCATTTCATTACAGCCAAAAGGTTGGTTGTTCCCTCTTCTGTCATGTTTTCAGTTATGTACTTTCCTATTCCTTCCACTTCAAGAACATTGGCCTTGATTTTTAACGACAGCTCTCCAGATACGCCCAATAACTCGTTCACATCTTTGCAGGAGTCTACAACTTTGTACTTGAACGAAAACGTATTGACATTTTTCTGCTCTGTTTGGGTTCCCTCTGGGAAGATGTCAGTACTGCAAGCACTAGAAGTTTCGGCGTCAAAAGTCCGTCCAAGACGCAACGTGGGGCATGTATAAGCTGGGATATTCATTTCCTTAAAAAGGCGAAAAAATTCACCAAGTAAAGTATGCAAGGTCACTTGAGCGAACATTCTGCATTGTAGTTTTAACGGTGTTCAGACAGCTGGAGGTTGGTGTTCAAATTAAGGTTTTTCAAGGAAAATAATGCAATTAAGATAGCATTATTTATTGTAAAAGGAATAAGAATTGACTGAAACAAAGCAAACACAAATTAAAGAAAATAACAAACAACAGAACCAGATCGCTCGATTTATGAGATAAAAAGACGTCTAAAGCTTGAATAATTTTTGATTTTTGACAAGGAATTATTTACTAAAAGACAGTACAATTTTATTCAGTATCTTATATTGGATTTTTGCTTGAAGACAATAGCTTAAAATATAGCTTACACCTGCTTTCAGCGTTACGTGCATAGGCGACATCTTTCGATCATCTTTCGATATGCTATGTAAATGGCTGAAAGACCGTTTAACTGTTAAACTGGCAATTTTTCCGGTTATGAGCGGAAGAAATGACAAATAAATGACAATTACTGACCTCAAATGGCTGAAGAAGATTGTGGACTTTGCATGTTTCCAGATTTACGCGATAATTAAAACGATTTGCGCGTAGTCGATCGGTTCTCAATAGTGACTTCCGGTAGAATTAGGCCGCTATCTCGTTTAGTATTCAAAAGATGTAAACATTCAAAACAGTCAATTTATCTCTCACAGAATGCCTTCTTGATACTCCTAACCTTAGCTGATGTCAAATAAATCCATCCTTCATGACTAAAAGACGAGTTCGACCGTAAAGAAGTCCGTTGTGCTGGCATTTTTGACGTAGGCCAGGCTACACAGCACTTCGAAAGATGGCATGTCGAAAGATGCGGCCTATGCACGTAACACTGAAAACGGTGCATGTAAATTCGAGTTGCACTATAGTTTATGTAGGTATATATATCTACCCTTGTCCCCAGGATATCAGCTAAACTTAGTTGCTGCTCCCGTTAAAATTATTTACACGCGCACTTCCTCTTTAATTTTCTTTTGAACAAAAGTTTCATGCTCCAATATCTCACTGATGATTGACTTCACCAGATGATAAATGCTCTCTTTCCTTTCCTCTGAGAGTGATTTTGCATAATTTGAGACTGAAACCGAATGTGCCTAAGAAAAGTACCTTAAAAAATGATCCTTAATTGCTGAATTTTTTCATGCTCTTTTGCTTTCGGTGACATTCATGTCTTGAAGTATTCCCTATTGTGTGATACTGTGTAGCTATAGCACCACAGTTTTACTGGTGTTGCTTTCGCATCGGGAAATCAACAACCGCGTTAACATCAAATACTCGTGACCTACCAGTCCATCCATCAGACATAGCTTAACGTATTAACACGAAATCCGATAGGAAATCGAGCAATTTCGGTTTCAGAATAACGTTAAGTATATTACAGTCCTTTCTGCATTTTCTTAAAGCTAAAAATATAAACAGTTGCCTGAGATAACACCAAAAACAATTTCCTGTGGGAACTCGAGAAAATTGATTTCAAAGTCAGAGAAATTGTCAAACACAGGTAAAATTTCATCATCAGTTTCATTTCACCGGTACTTTCAAGTGTTTCATATTAACTTCCAAATTTGTATTTGACATCTGGTGTCGTTAGAAATGATTTCTTTTAAGAACATATTAAAGCAGTCGCACAGAAGTTTCCAATACAATGTAAATAATCTCGGGACTTGTTTCTCGAACTTGTGGTGGATTCCTACTTTATCGATGAGGTAGCTCTCAGGAGCCTTTGACTCTTCAAAAAAAACCTGTGCGAGAAGTATTAAGAATTGATACAGTAGTCAGAGGGATGTGTGTGTCCTCTTTCTGTTATTCTTGGCTTGCACTGTCACGCAATAAAAGAAAATAAATCGAAAACCATTCAGTGTATAAAGTCAAGAAATTATGGTGTTATAGGAGATAAATAAAGAAGACATTTCTCTAAGTTTTAAGTCGGTACGTTTCTCCAAACGTCAAATATTCGTCGAAATATTTTGCACAAATTTACAGAGCCCAGTATGGAGCCGCCATGTTGGTGCACATTTCATTGTCAACTTTTCGGTGATCTTTGTTTTTCATTCAAATTGAGGGCATGCAGTGAAGACGAGTTTCCTGCTCTGCTCTGAGCCAATGTTATGTATGCTCTCCCTTGTGGATGTTGGGAAGTCAACAAATGCTCCAACATTAAATACTCCTGACCGACCAGTCCATCTTTCAGTGCTACCCTAACATATTGAACCATGAGAAAGCTCTCAGAAGCCTTTGAATATTTGTTATTGCAGTTCGAGTCCAACAAATGAAAAAAAAAAAAGAACTCTACGTGCAGTTCAACAGATTCAAGACACTCTGTTCATTCCTTTTCTAACGGGAACTAGCATGTAGACCATGGAGAACAGTGTTCGGATTAAATGGTTTAGACTTTAACGATTATTTTGAGCGTTGTAGAAGCAAAAGCACTAGAGCTAACCATCCGTTTAAGATTCAAACGAAATCAGCAAGAATTAATGCCTTCAAGAATTCCTTCTTTGTTAGAATTATTAAGGAATGGAATAATTTGCCAAACCACTTGTTCGGACACGACATCAACGACATTAATGCAAACAGGTTCAAATCAAGCCTTAAAAAGTGGATGAATATTCATTAATTATATGCCACAGTACCTAATATCATAGATATCATAGATATTTTAGATTTTAAATTTTGGACTGTTAATTATTTACAAATACTTGTGAAATGTTNTCAAGTATTCCTTCTTTGTTAGAATTATTAAGGAATGGAATAATTTGCCAAACCACTTGTTTGGACACGACATCAACGACATTAATGCAAACAGGTTGAAATCAAGCCTTAAAAAGTGGATGAATATTCATTAATTATATGCCACAGTACCTAATATTATAGATATCATAGATGTTTTAGATTTTAAATTTTGGACTGTTAATTATTTACATGATAGATATTTCAAATGTTTAAATTTTAGATTGTCAATTATTTACTTAGCAGATATTTTAAATTTTTAAATTTTAGATTGTAATTTTAGTTAGGGGACCTAAATAGGGATAACCTCATGGTCCTCCTTTTCAAATACTCTCCTCAGTATTTGAATAAAGTATTATTATTATTATTGACGATTGTCACAATGGCCAGCTTCAGGTCTCGTTAGATGGAGGGGAATATGATACCTTGGAACATTCAAGTCAGGTGAAGCTTTTTTCTGAGTCGATAAAGATCTTAAATTGGTCCAAAACTCGCTTGAGGTTCTAGTTTTAATGAGTTCATCAATTTTGTTATCCCGATATTTGAGTTTTTTACGTCGTAATAACTGTTTGTACTGTCTTCTTACAGATAGATATTCAAGTCGAGATTGCTAGTCGAAAGGATTTTTATGGGTTTTATGTGAAAGGCGGTTTAAAAGTTTTCTTACATTACTGCAGTCACTATCAAATCAAATTTGAGAGTGTCTTTTTTCGGAGTTCTTGTTCACTTTTACCAATGTTAACGAATGTTTGGCAGCAGTTTCTAATATTTTTATGAATTTATCTACTATTTCGTTAACGTCTCCTACAAGATCAAAGTTTAAAATTTCAAAGTCATGAATCAACTTGTTAATTTCATCGGATTGTAGCGCAGAAGTGAA